ATAGGCCCAAGATAGCCATCATATCCCCAACATATGCCCAACATAGCCTCCAAGATGGCTCAACATAGGCCCAACATAGGCCCAACCTAGGCCAACATAGGCCAACATAGGCCTAACATAGGCCGACATAGGCCCAACATAGGCTCAACATGGGCCCAAGATGTGCCCAACATAGACCACATGGGCCCAACTTGGCCCAACCTAGGGCCAAGATGCGCACCAGATAGCTTAACTTTGCTCAATATAGGCCCCACCAAGGCCAACATAGGCGCGACATGCTCCCCACAGACCCAAGTGGCCGGCGCCCGGCTGTTAGGCGTAAGCCTTTAATATCCGGATATCTGTTTGATGCTGAGGTGGTTTGCATGTCTTGCTGTTGAACTCGATGATGAATGGTGCATGCTTAGTCAAAGCGTGCGTAGAACATAGTCCTTCATAAAGTGTAAATCGGATGGTCCAATAGTCTAATATTGTCTAACTTAGAACCTGTACAACTTTGTCCACAAGGCCTCACCGAACTGCCCAAGGTCCGTGCCAAAAAGGTGGCAATAGATCGGCAGCAGTGGAGAGTCCTGAAGCCTGGGTGCCAGCCGCTTTGGATGTTTCCTTTGGCGCTTTAAAGCACAGTGTCTCTGGTCTCTGATTCCTTGTTCCTAGTAGCGTCCTTGCTCCTAGTAGCGATGCCCGTGTTCCTAGTAGCGATGCCAGGAGCTAATAGTAGGATTCTTGTTCATTTTTCACGGGTCTTTTCGTAGCAAGTGGTTGGAGGATCTTTCTTGGTGAAAGCATGTGTGTTTTTGCTTTGAATGGCCTCAGGGTTGAATTGACTGCTTGGACATGGGAATTGGTGACAAAGCCGGTGCTCAATTTGGATTCGGCTAACAGGAGTTGTTGACAGTTGGACAGTTGACGGATGGCATCGTAGCTGCAGGATGGATTTGAAATACAATCAAGCTTCCTAGCTACAAACAGCAAGCAGAAGCATATAGAAGCACTAGCCACAGTCCCCACAACATGGGATGGGCGGTGCCGCAGTGCTTGAATTTCAGGAGCAGTGGAGCAGAATCGAATCTCTACGTGTGTCCCGGCAAACATGACGCGAATTCTCAAGGCGAGACACCCAATGAGCTCTGTCTCAGCAGCCCAGCGCATGCTGGCGCTCACCACCTCAGTGTGGAACCGATCTCCGAGATGTGCTTCGAGATGTGATGAGAATGCCGCAATCCACGGTGTCATGCATTCCTCAGAAACCCTCTTGGAAGGTCAGAGGCATTTCAACGACTTGATTCATATCGGTGAAAGTAGAAACATCGAACGCTGCTTGGCAGGTTTCTGCGAGGTGTATATCTCGGATGTCCCAATCGACCTCTGAATAAGTGGAGTTATGTGTGACATTGTCTGACTTTCTTTCTTTCTTTCCTGCTGGGCCAGCCGATGGTCTCCCATTACAGTTACTCCAGAAACTCTGCATATCTATGGGGGAATTTTGCTACCAGTAGCTTCAAGGTCAAGCCATGGAACTACCAGTTCCTGAGAGGGACCCACATGAGAGTCGGATACGATTGCCGACTGAGTCTATGCCCATGGCCCAAGTGCTGACGAGCGTGCCAACCTCGGCAGGAATGAGTTGTCCCTCCTTCGTTCAGGAAAGAAGCGATGGCCTCCACCCTAAGAGCGATGGCCTCCACCCTAGAGGCCCTAGAAGCAAGAAATAAGAAAACAAATTCTCTGCACGAAGTCTTCAACTAGGAGGGGTGCTCTCTTCTTGTGAGGGATGGCTGTAATCAGCCTGTGAATATGTCATAGAGTCTTCGAGGGAACGTGCACTGGAGCAAATAGATCGCTGCAAGTTAAGCTCCGGAAATCCAACCCTCCCAAAAAATCAAAGGACTATGCATGTTCCAAAAACTTTGACTTATGTGAAGCAACCTCTTCGTGCATCGGAATGCCGGGGTCTACGTCTATCTAATGCTCAACTGAAATGTGCAATAAGTGTATGGCAGACTGTAAAAGTACAAAAAAAGTGGTAAAAGCGGTAAAAACAAGACCATGTGACAGCCAAATATCCCCGGAGTGTGTCGAGTCTTCACTCTCAGCTGTGGTGCAACGGCAAAGGCCATGATGGAGCCTCAGGTCGGATGGTGCGAAACGGCTTGGGCAGACTGAAGGCTCCAGTCTACGGGAAGCAAAATCAAGGCACCTTTCAGTATTGGTGACACAAAACCAAACTTGATGAAGCAGGGAGCCTTGGGCATGGACCTCAAAATGGTCACCAAGGTCCCCCTTATAATCCTTGTGGAAGCCATCTGCACTGCAAAAAGCATATCAAGCTAGCTTCCTTTCTCTGTACAATGTCCCAAGGGGCCGAGGTTGTCGACGAAGAGCTGGGTTTTGAGCGACCTTAAAGTGCAGGCGGGCTTTCAGGAATGAGACAGGGCAAAACCTTACACAAAGGCACAGATTTCTGTGTGCTGAATGTTTTGAATCAAGGAGGCTGTATCTAGGGACGCATCAATTTGTGGTCCAAAGACTTTGAGCTTTGCCAAGTCAGAATATCTTCACGACATGCAACATGGAAACCCTCTTCAACACAGAGCATGGCAGCGATGCTATTTTTTGAAAACACAAACATAACTATCATTACTTGTCTACATGTTGGTGTGTAGCGTGTAGTTATGGACAAAAGGACTGTACTACGTGCGGATCTGGCAGGTATGGGTGAACAAAGCCATGGCGAGATTGTCTCAGCAATCTTTCTCAAAGTTGGCAATCTGGAATCAACATTGAAAGTAAGTGCATCTATCCTTTGGCTGTGCACATCAAAGTGCAAATGGCCCTCAAGCTTAGTGGTCGGCAAGCCCGCTTCCAGGATGATGGGAGGAAGAAGGACCTGATTGTGGTACTCCGCAGTGGAGTCTGGTCACACGACACTGCAAGAACTGGAACTGAGGACATGTAGAGCGTGCCATTGTCCGACTGTGGTCAGTGGCCTGCTGTTGGTCTGTTCGCCATCTTCGAGAATGAATGGAACCGTTCAGAAAGAGTGCTTTTTGGCAGAGTGCACACTACCACCCACATACCTCATCAACTAGGATCAATGCCCATGTTTATACACCTACCGTTGGTGACGATCCAAGTGGTGGAAAACAAACAGCCTCCAGGGTATCGCCATGTTTAAGCTGCTAATCAAAAGAACATCCTTTGCTTCCAAACAAAAGATTGCACACTAGACCAAACATAACTCACTATATAAATAGTCCCTCCCAACTTTCGACGATTTACCATCAATCACCACAGTCTTTGAACAATCAGTGCTTTCAAAAAAGCCACATCATTTCACACGCAAGTTGTCGTCATTAAAAGAACCAATGCATATGACATGACATCACATGCTATGCATATTATGCATATTGAACTACTCCTCGCATGGTTCTCGAGGAGAGAGGCAAATGGAGCGATCAATCCAAATTGCCGGCAATAATAACTATCGACAGAGACACTTAGCATCCCCATGCATCCCAAACCAGCATCCGATCAACTGCAATCTACACATCAGGGCGCAGGCGTAGAAAAAGAAGGAACCCCTGAAGTGCCAGCGAAGATCGAAGAGCGATCTTTTGACATGGTGAGTATGCTCAGGCGAATATGGTCAAGCAAGTGGATCCCATCATCAAAAAGAAGTGGATCCCATCAGGTGAACTGAAGAAAGTTGACTGAGACAAGTGAAAAATATGTTGGCCTCTTTACAGGCTTTCCGTTTGGGGCCCCGCCTAAAGTTCAGCAAGGCTTCTTCTTGTTCGAGTTGAAGAGCCTTGTGAGTCATGCAGTTCACACAAAATGCAAATCTTTGAGCTTTTTCCCGGAGGCTGATAATGACTGTCAGGTTTGGGTATGCTCACTGCAAGATGACAGCCCAGGTCAATAAGACATTGCAGCCTTTCGCTTCGACTGAAGCTCCGTCTCCAAAATCCGTTTGCATTGAGCGGTCCGAGCGAACCGGAAGAACCGCCTACGCCACCGCGCCCTTCTCTTGGTGCGCTGGCTCGGACCATGCAGCCCACCAGGAAGCCAAGGCTCATTGCCTTGGAGCGTCAGGTTTGCTTCTGCTTTTTGGGATGTTGTATGTTATCAAAAAATATCAAAACAAACACGTGGATGGCAGGAAAGGCACACCTGAAGCAACCAATCTAGTCTGAGAGTTGCACGGCGCCGCTCTCCGGTAAGTGCTTCAGTCTGTGCCTCGGCTCTTTCCACTGATGGACAACTCTGATGTGCAAACCTGTTCATATTCTTTCCTCCGGGAGCTCTGGAAAAGAATGTGGTATGTTTCTTTTCGATCGGGGAAGCGATAAGGGAGCCAAAAGAACAAGTTCATTTCTGTAAGCGAGAGGTGTGAATAGACTTTACTGAGCACAGTAACAAGTTCTCGCGGCGCATTTTTCTGGCGACACACGCTCAAGAGTTCAGGGATATGGCAAGGCCGAGATCCTGCACGGACATGAAGCGGAATGGTTCAAGGTTCTTGGCCATGCTACGTATGCAGTGCTGCCATTCTTCTTCATTTTCACAAAATCCGTGCGTGTCATTGTGACCACAAGAAGCTTAAAACTTGTCCTCTACAAAGCGCGCGGCTGTTGTTTGTGCTTGGCATCTTTCTTGCATTTAGTGCTGAGCAGGTTTTCTGTGGGTTTATGGAAACTCCGACTCCAGCTGGCATCCTTGACTTGAGCACTTGGATATCTAGATGTCCAACGGCACTAAGCCGGTTCCGGATGTTTGCACTAGTTCCGGCTCCCTGAAGTGGGCTCTGAACTACTCCACTACTTACCCACTCTGGAGGAACATTCTGGCGCCACAGCTGCAGTGGGTCACAGTGTGACGGATACTGCATCCAAATATTTACTGGACCCGAACTCCACAAATCAAAACGTCCAATTATCGTCAACAGCGAATCTCATCCCAAACCCATTTGTCCACCAAATGTGCCGTCCTTCGGCTGCTCAGCCTGAACTTCACCGGAACGTCCGGTGGAAACACGTGCATAAGGAACACACTGACTGAGGTCCTGAATATGGAAACTGTGTTTCAACACCCTCGTTGCAAGGTGATATCTCGCACCTTAAATGAGAACATGTGAGGCAGTTCACAACGGCGCACGAATTGCGAGGCTACCCCTTCGGACAATCTGCTTGTGAGGTGGTATCACCCTCACCTCCTCTAGTCCAAGAGGCCATTCTCAAGTGCACATGTCCCCCAACAAGGCTACTCTCCATTTCGTGCAACTGGGCTTTGTGGATCAGGCTTATAGAGGATATCCCCAAATCAAGCAATCTGCTTGTCCAATCAGCACCTTGGAAAGGAACATTTATTCCAAAAAGCAAAATCCGATTGACAGTGTACACAGAGTATCTGAATCATCATGCGTCTCCAACTCCTCAAACCTCAATCACACATTCTTGGCGACTTTGTGCCTGTGATCATTGTGCCACGGATGGATTGCAGATGATGTTGAGCCTCCTGCCCACGAATGGACGGAAAGTGGAATCTTATGTGGTGTTGCCTAGCCACGACCATCATCTGTTGCTGTACTGAGTTGAGCAGTGAGTTCGTTTTGTCGAGCTATCCAGTTGACAGCTTAAAGGTCCCGTATTATTATACAATCAATATACAGTACATGCATATGTCAAACATTGCCAACACGCCTCAAAGACTTACTTTCTCATACTCACTTAATTCTTGAGATCGCTATTGTGATAGAAGGCTCCCATTGATAGGTTCAAACGAGGATGAGATCCTAGTGTGGTACCGATTATGCTGTACGCCTCATATTGGGAAAAGGTTCCTACAATGAGAAAATGTATTTTTATGAGCACAATTCCAATCCCTGCAAGGCTCTTCATGTATTATGCTAAGGCCTTTGCCAGGACATTGTGCCTATTGATGCTCATAGATTTGATGCAAAGGTATGATCCAAGCATATATATATATATTTATACTATGGAAGTACTATGTGTTACTATGTATTCCCCGTGACAACTAAAACTACGTGCATGTTGCTGTCATTTTTTCCGTCAATTGCATATCCAAAATCAACTCGCTTTGCCGGCACAACATATACGTTGAACAAATTGAAATGCCAAAGGCAACACACTTTCCGTGGAAATTATCGACACTGGCTGAACTCCTGCCTCGTTCCCGCGGTCGGCGGCCTTTTCCAGCCAGGCGACCCCGGCCTCCGTTGCTCAAACACGTTGATTCTTCTGATCTGAATGCGGAAAAGGACACGGTAAATGTACCAGTGATCGAACAGCAAAAGCCCTCATACAAAAAGAGCTTTCCTCCAGCGCCCTTTCCTCCCATAGATCCTTTTGAACCTTTGCATTCTGCAACCTCTAGATCCATCTAGATTCTAGATTCACCCACATTCTGCCTCCATGTTCATAGGAATCGAATCCCCGCAGTAAAGCATCCAACCTGAGCGATGCGGAAATGTGGCCAGGGTCAAACGAATTGGCGCACATTAGACAGGAGCAGGAGCCACACGTGACACGCTTCTCTACCAAACTGAGCCAAAGTCTGAAGTAAGAATACAACCAGTTGGGCTTGGATTCATTTTGACTCACGGTTGAAGTTCTCCCATGATCTCCGATGCATGTTTAAACTGCATCTGCTCCAGCAATTTGCAGGTTCTTATGCAAGTCAAGAGACTGTGTTCTGTTAAAATCTCTTTTCCTGATCATCAGGACATGTTGGTGGAGGGTTGGTTGATACACTTTGTTCCCCTCTGGATACGGGGTCCACTGCCTCAAAGCAATTGTGGGAAAGGTACAACGTATTGGGTGGGCAATACATGCTACCAACAAGGGACATTCATTGCACAAAGCCACCAAAGCCAGATGGTTTAATCTATCTGCCATGCCCGGATTGGTTCCAAGCTCCCGGGCCAATGTTGTTCTGCGCCTCTGGGAGTTCCTTCCGAAACATAACCATCCGCTCAGAGTACACTGAGTGCATCTTAGAAACAGATGTGAGTTTCTGTCGTTCTTAGATGGAACAAGCTTACAGCGAGAAAACATCTGAAATGTAGATCTGCCAGAAATGTAGACCATTGTAGACCTTCTGAGACTTCCCAGGATACTAAACTAAACAAAACGAGTCCGTTTGAGTCAGTTGTAAGAGCACAATATGCCATAGGGTCCCAGTTTGTGCCCCTCAGTCCTGCTCCGCGGCCTTCAGGAACCATGTTGCCGCCGAGCGCCTGGCAAGCCACAGGCTTTTTTCCGCTTTATGTTCATCTAGCAACCTAAACTGCTCAAAGGCGTGCTTTAGTAATAGTACCTCCTTCGATTTTGAAACCCAAACTGCAATGTAAAAAGCCACTCGTATTTGAACGTTTCCTCATACACCCCTGGCTAAAGACAAAATCCTTCCATGCACAGAAGATATCTAGTGTATATATTTTCCCATTTGGTAGCTTGCTTTGTTTTACAACTGTAACAAAAACATGTGCTAGTAGCTTGGGGCCAAACAATTATGCTGCCCCATGTTATTTCAAGCAACCAGGTGCTTGAAACCGAAGAAACAAAGCATCGACAACATGAACCTCCAGGCCACAAAGAAAGGCTGCCTCCCTTTTTTGGTAAACAATTGCACAATGTAACGTCCTCTGGGTGGGCGCTGTAGAACTTTAAAGTAAGCCTGATCATTGTGCAAAAGCACCATCTTACCAGACAAACCATCTCACAATTTGCATGACAAATGAAAGTTGAAGTACGACCAGGTCATCACCTCAAGCGCCAAAACGAGCTGCTGAATGAGGTGCCCACCTGTCGCTGTCAATGCCCTCCCCGAAGTAGAGCTTCACACCCAAGTTGTGCATCGACTCAGGGTGACCCTGCGAGCGACGACCGAAACGACCTGTTTGCCCGAAGCGACCGAGTGTGTGACACTTTCGGCCCTTGTGCGCGAACTTCAAATCCTAGGGCTCTATATAAAGAAGCCCTGGAAGCACCCAGAAGCACCTGCTGGGCTGCTGCGGTCAAGAACCGGAAGGCGTATTGCTCGTCAGCTTCGATTCCGTCACCCTGGAACAGCATCCTGCAGATGGGGAGGCGTCTTCACATGTGGCAGGCCAATATAACTGGGGTTCGCAAGAGCAGGGCTGGCGCTAGCAGTGGCGATTGATTTGTTGTCAATGTAACAACAAACTACTAACGTCCAACAAAGATTGGTTGAATAACAAGTAAACTTCATCTCCACATCTATGTAACATTGCGATGTGGCCGCACTAGTCAAATGCCCTCCTGGTCTCCTACCCTGATCAATAACTTGCACATAAGCTGGTTGTCTGAACATCTATGAATTACGAAGAGCTCCTTATGAACCTAGACGTACAAATCCAAATCCAAATCACCAAGCAGTTGAGTTGCACAATCCACACCAGCAACGGTAAAGTACACACAAACTACTAGTATATCAAACATATTCAAACATTATCAATCTATCCCCGTTCGCACTCGTCCTGCTGATCTGGTACTGTGCCTCATCGAGACCGGCTTGGGCTGCCTGCATGAACCAATAGCTGGCCAAGGCCTCACAAAGCCAATAAGAAGGTAGGCCTCACTGTTGCGATTCTTACAACAAACGGAGCTTTACGGTATGACCCAATGCCGTGAGGTCGCTGTGGACTTGGATATTGCTAGCGGTGTTTGCTCTGATAGTCTAGGCGACGTGGAAATACGTCGACTTCTGAAAGGTGGACTGCAGTGTAGTTTGCGGAGAGGTTCTATCGTCGATCTTCGAAGCCAGGTGGGCAGATCGACGTGCCATCGGTGCCTTGTCCAGCTTCACATGATCACCTTCGTAGTGCATCATGCCCAACTTGAACCTCGCGGCGGTTAGAACGGTTTTTTGGCAAGGATGAGTGTACCTCTGGTTGGTAGGCATTCCAAGATTCCAACCACTTAGAAACCTTGAAAAGGCAACTGCTTGCATGATGTCTCCTTGCAGGCCCAACTGTAGACAGGACCCCAAACGGATGCTCTCATTGCCAAGTCTTGTGATCACCGGAGCATCTGTAGACTGAACCATGAACAGTACAATTCTGGGATATTCTGGGGCTCCGGCTGCGCATGAGTATTTCCATTTTCTGCCTAACATCCAGGAACGGTGGGGCCCTCGCCGCATTGTGTTTTGAACGTTAGAAGCTCGTCTATTTTCCATCTCTTTTGAACTGTCCTGCAAAGACATTAGCAAAAGCGGCTTTTGCAAGCGAAGCCTTTTCAACCTTTTTCCAATTCAAGCGAAAAAGGCTAGGTGCTACAACGTACAGAGCTCTTTCATTCCTGTGACGCACCCACAACCGTCCAACAAGTGCTGCCAGCAGCCACCAAAAGCCAAAACCAACCGGACAAGCATGGTCACGCACAAGCTTCAAGCTGGCCTTGCCTCTTTGGTAATTCGGTCCACACCCATCTCTTTGGGATCGTAATCCTTGGGAAAAGGCCATTGGAATGAACGATGAACGTCCATCGTGGGTCATCCATGGGCACCTCATTTCGCCTTATTTCCTCGCACTAACGAGGAAATTCATTTAGTGATGAACGAAGCCTGACATCCCACCTTAGCAATGTCTAAAGTCTAAAGGAAACCATAAATGATCAAACATGTCTACTCATGTACTCAATGTAGCGATGGCCTCCAGCCTAAAGGAACCAATATATAAATGATCAAAGATGTCCACTCATGATCTTCATGGGTGAGGAACTGAAATCGTTGGGGCAAACACACCCAGCGTCCAGCCATGGCCCAGAGCCGAAGATCTTCACGTTCTTACTGCGCAGGGCCTGCCCCACATGAATACAGTTCAATGAGTTGTTGGCATTTGAACCCAGGAGAGGCTATTGGCTGAACATGTGACCGATCTTATGCAACACATTGAAGTTTATGACAATGACTCATAATTCATAACTGCAGTATGATCCTCACAGTCCAAACTCAAACATTGTAAAACACAATGCACTCTCCTGGTCCTAATTCCATCTTCTAAAAATAACTACAGTATCTAGCTGGCACAACGGGCAAAGCGAATTAGAACATTCATTTCTTGGAACAACACAACTTGCTCCACATCTTCGCACTTTCTCGTCTCTTCACGCTCTCTCGTCTCCTTGCGGTGCCCCTTCTCTGCAGCTCGCAGGGTCCATTCCTTGGCCTTCAAGGCGTCCTGGCGGAGACCTCAGCACATCGGTTTCGAACTCGTTCACATCTTTCACAGAATTCGCAAGAGAATTCAAGCGGAATACTGTTCTTTTTGTTTCAATAGTTGAGAATTCAGAATAGGAACTTCCAATAAACTTCTGAGATCCGACCTTTGAGGGAATATCGTTGTCACTACGACTAGGGACCAAAACAATCCCAAGCCAACTCATAGCATCCGCTGTTTCAAGTTTCAATCAATCCTGACAAGCTGCCAATTCCATGTTGATACCTCGAGGGCCCAGGCAAAGCAGCGAACCAGGATAAGAGTTGTAAGTTTCTGTGGTTTCCTATTTCCTGTGTATTCATTCATGATCTTCACAGGTTTCATTGGTGGTCTATCTTCCACCAGTCGTGAGGGCCTATGAGGCCCTTCCCTTGCACAGTGAGCTCGCTTCGACAAACAACTTATGCTTGTGGGATCTACGATTCCAAGCTAATCCATCTCGACCTTAGACCTTTCAATTTGGTCGGCATGACCTACTGCCAGGGAGGGTTCAGCAACGTGGTAGAGCGATGTATTTCTCCTTGCCGTTGTGTATCTGTTTGCTCGGTGCGATGACTGACACCAAGCGCTTGTTGGTGAATATGCAGCCCTATCTTACAGACTCGATTTGGTGGTAGGCTCGCCTCGCCTCCCAAGCCAAGAAGTCAGGGATTGCAATGGTCTTGAAGAGGCATATATAGCTCCGAAATTCAGGACTTTCACTTCCACATCTAGCTGAGGATCATCAGCGCCAGGTTGTACATAGCTTTGTTCTCTCCTTTTTGTGCAGCCTGATGCAAGAACTGTGCAGCGCTCAGCTCATCTTTCTTCACACCTTCACCTTGGCTAGTTTGGCTGTTGGAGAGGGTTTCAAACATCCTAAGTCGAGAAAATCGTTTCGATGAGGATTGAGGTCCACAAGCTCCACTAGGCGTTCCTCGGCAATTTGCTCACGTTTCCGAACAACTCACTCCGATCTCAACCGGTGGCCATTCAGCAGCATCACGCCCAAAGCGTATGCGCCTTTACCTCAGAGATCGGATAGGTCGGACGAGGCACCAAAAAGGTGCAAAAGGATCCTTTATTAAAGCAGTAGATTCTTAGTTTTCACACACACACGTATATATATAATTATATGTATATATATAGTAATATATATTATATATCTATATCTATAACAACTGTGCAAATTGCATCGAACAAAATTAACTTTTTGCACCTTCCCAAATTACTGCTTGTTCCAATCGTTATATAGATATCGTTAGTGAGTCCATTATTTCAGGGTTCAGGAATTTGGTTGGCTTACTCCATTGTCTGGCGCTTCCAGAACTCTCATCGAATCTTTCCCCCAATAAATTCATTTCGATTTGAACCAGAGAGCAAAAAAGAAAACTCAGTGCCTCAGCCTCCACCACCGTCCCTGCCGCATGCCCATGGATCCCTGGATGTGCACTCGACAGCTTTCAGGGCACCGTGTCCATGGAGTGCTGCAGCCCGAAAGCCCTGAGCGGCCTCCGGCAGCTGCTTGGCGCGGTAAAGGCGCAATGCTCTATTGTAGCTGCTGCGGCCTGCTGCCTCGTTGAAACTCCGCGTGTTCAAAGGATCGAGAAGGACAGCGTTTTCCAACAAAATTTCAGGTACATAACTCCAACAACTTCTCCAATTTCACTAATCGTCCAACATCAACTCTGAAGTATTGGGATACATGTTCTACTTGAATGATCACCACAATTTGACCTATCTCATGCACCGGCAAGTTGAACTGAGCACATGATTTAAAGATGTCATCTTCACCACGTCTTGCTCGATTCTGTCCGGCCCTACTGGCCTCCATCTCTTGGACTGTCACCTCTGGCACGATCTTCTCCTTCTCCGGCTCCGCTTCGCTGAGCGGCGGGTCCAGGAACCTCGGCAAGTCTCGCTTTTCCAGGTTCCTAACATCAATTGTCTGCTCGACAAAAAAGGCATTCGAAGGTCGAAGAGTCTTTCACCTACTCTTTTGGTGAGTCTAAAGGGCTGTGCCAGGTGACTTATACAGTTTTGCTCCATGATGCTCTATCTGACCTCCATGTGAGTTCGCTCTGTCACATCAGTGCAGCAAAGGCGCCAGCTCCCAGACGCATTGAAGAGTGTCAATGTCCTGACATCAAAGAGTGACGTAACTCCCGTAGTTAGCTCAGCGATTGCTGAGATCAGGTGAGTTGGTGAATCCCATTTTCGATCAAAGACATTATAGCAATGCAGCAAAAGATTCAACTGCAAATCCAAATCAAGTCACCATGGCCAGTCGCGCACTGACAAAAGAAACTGACAGACTCTTCTGCCCACGGGGCTGATATTCTGTTTGTTTGGGCAAAGAATCTTTCTGAGAAATACACACATGATCAAACAAGGTGTTCTGCTCAACGTGAGTATCATGTAGTCTTAGACTGCTAATGCATGACAATGCCTCCTACACATTTGCCCCAGCGGATGTGGTGATTTGAAGGTTCCCGAGTTTTCATCTATATGTATATATAGTATATATATCCAAACTTATACTTTAGATAATGTCAACAATAAGTGCCCCATCCAAGCTCCACTGCCTCCCTCACTCAACAAGAGCAGACTATAGCTACAATATAACGAACACACATGCATATCAACCCTTGGCACTTGAGCGGGTGTGTGTCTTGCCCATCGGAAAGCCAGTGCCGCTGCTTTGGTCGGAGTTGAGCGTCTAGATGTTTGAGTCTCCCCACATGTATACCGGCATCCCAAGTACTGTGATGATAAGAAACGCAATCACCGGATTAATGACCCCCCTCGACGTTTGCTAATAGGGGGGAAGTGAGGTGTTTTTTTCTCTTTCTCGGTGGACAATCAGGAGAGGCCACCAAGACTAATTCCTTCATGAGGAGAGGCACCTTCATGAGGATGAGGGATTGGTGAAATAATAAGTGCTGGAATTGAATTGGAAAATACATTTTTAATTGGCAATAGGACCATAGGATGAGGGATTGGTGAAATTGAAGGGGTTGAAGAAAGGACAGAAAGTAGATTAACTAACTGGGAGGTGTCAAACAATTGCCTCCCCAGAAAGGTGGACCAAACTAATTGCGGTGGTTTGGTCAGAAAAAATCCAAAATGTATAGAAGCAGCCGTTAAGCTGCAACTCCTGTTTTGGGCCGCGAGCTGCAAAGGTGAAGTCAACATGACATCCTACTATGTGCAAGGTACAAAGTGTACATATTACATGGAGTGAAAATACACCCCCCTCAGCTAAGGTAGCTTTGCTCCCGAAGCTGGACGCGGAAAGTGCACGAGGGCTTGTGCAGGGCACGACAGTGATGTCGGCTCAAAGCTGCATGGCAGTTGTGGATGCTAGCAATCCACTGCCAACGTGGCCCTGTACGTGCATTTTAATTATTCACTCCCCGCCGCCAAAAGAAATTGAAAGTTTGGACTTGGGAGGAAAACCGCATACATATTGACAATGGATGTCATGCAATGAATTATGCTCGCTCAGGCAAAAGGTTGAGACTTGGCTCAACTAACGCCAATGCCACTGGCTCCGACTCGAGCTCCAGTCCCACGAACGGCGGTCCCACTGCCGCTGCTCGCCCCACTCGCTCCAGTTCCATGAGCTCCATCCCCACGAGGACGATGCTGATCCGGATGCACGTGGGCTCACCGGTGAGGGTGGCGGACCTCCTTTTGCCTTTGAAGCTGGAGTTCCATCACCTCCGGTAGAGGACTTGCGCTTGCCCTTGCTTTGCTGCTGGCGCTGCTCTTGAGTCTGCTTGTTGACCACGTCACGCCTGGCAGCGGAGAGGTTGTCATGGCATAGCTGGCGAAGCTCCTCCAATGCGCAGTATTGGTTCATCTGATGCACGCCGTCCCAAGCCAAAAGGCCACGATGGGAATCAGGTGAATTAATGTACTCGATGTACTCACGCAAGGAGAGAATGTTTGTGCGATAGATCACGCACCATTGCTCTGGAATGTAATCCATAGCTTGTGGAAAGCGATCGGGCACTACATCGATGTAGGCCAGCCGTGCCAAAGAATGATCTTCGTCATATCCGAGGCCCAGGCTGACTTGCGCTTTGTTGCGCGGTGGGTTTGCCAAGTGAGCATGGCAAAGCCAATCCTGCCGCTGCGCTGCCCGATAGTCATAGCCCATTTGCAGCATTCGTTCCATGAACTGGACGTCATGCTCGAAGCGGTCCTCGATGCTTTGGAAGCCACACTTGTCTGCACCTTCATTCGGCTGCGAGCATCTTGGATCATAATTGCTTCTGGGCTCATGTTTCCACGGCCGCTTGCAGACACCACACGCAAATTGAGGCCCGCCTTGATGTAGTCGCTGACTGGGCACTCAGTGCGAGCGAGGCCTGCCCTCGCAAGCTGCTGCTTTCGGAGAACTGAAAGTCGGGTGACAGCTTCCTCCGGCAGCTCGGTGTTGGTGGCAAGTTCGGCTGAACAAATGTCGCAGTGGGTCATGCCCCTGAGGACTAGACCCTTGCACTGGCTGCACTCGACCTGGATCACCGTCAGCTTTCGTCCCTTCCGAAGCGTCGGGGCGGTGATTGGTGCATCAAAGCCAGGTGGTGGCCCCGCAGGCTCAGGCGGAGCATAGCCGCTGTAGGATGCAGCAGGTCGATCTTGCTCTGCCTCATTTGCAATGGAAGTTGGCGGAGTCGAAGGTGCAGCCTTGCTTGCAGGTGCCGCTTTGCTGGTTGCAGTCAGGGAAACAGGCATTGCTTTTGCGGTTGGCCGGGGCTCGCCAGTGATGGCGGCCCGGCTCTCACCTCCATCCGCTGTTGCTGCCTCGACGGAGACGATGTATTCTGGAGGTACCGTGTCAACCGTCATGATTCCACCGGAGCGGTTCTGGAAAAAGATGAGACCGCCATCGACTGCTTCCCGAAGTGCAACGGTAAGCTGAATGGGGTGCTTACCGCGGAGACCGCTTTGATAGTCGGTCTCCGTAATGCGACTTGCAGCCAGGTAAACATGGGCTCGATCACTGCCAACAAACTCGCCCCCGCCTGGGATGAGGCCCTCCTTGACGATCCGCTTCCAGCACGCTGGCCTTGTGCGGTGGTAGGCCAACACAGGGATCTCATCCGCTTTGGCAATGGGCTTCCCAATGAAGGGAGCTTTGGCTTCTGGCCTGAGCGCAGGACTGCAGTACATCAAGGCTGCCGATCTGTAGTTGTCCTGTGCGCTCTTGATTGCGTGCTTGCTTTGGCCAGCAGCGGCGCGCATCTTCAGAGGCCATAGTGCCACGCCCTTCTCCTCGAGTTTGTGCCCTTCTCGAATGCCCAAAAACTCGAATCGGTTTTTCTTGTCCTTTGCTGCTATGGCGATCAAGTCTTTGACGGTGAGCGGCGGGGCACTGCGGTGATTCAGGCCGAAACACCTGGCTACTTCATCCAAGTCTGCGTAGCCATCTTCGTCGACCTCAAGTCCCAGGAATTGGTCGTGTTGTCGGACGACCTTGGATAGCTGGGTAAGCCAATCCTTGAGAGGTTTCGCGAAGAAAAGGTGCCCGCCATTGAGCTCCCACCCGCTCGCAAAGTGGAGCGGCAATTGCTGGTCACCAAGCTGGACCACTTGCTGGAAAGCGCCGTCGATCTCGGCCATCCGGTATGCATACTCGGGATATTGATCTGCAAGATATTGAGGGCACACAACGTGGCCTTCAGCAGCAGCCGGTGGCGATGAGGGTGCTTCAGGCTCGGGCTCACCCTTGACGGTGGCCGAACCTTCTTCGCCATGAGGTGCGCTCTCATCTTCAGGTTCTTCCGGCACGACCTCATCATATGGCGATACCTCCTCATCGTCATTGGCATCAATGTCGAGCCATGCTGCCGGGTTCTGACCGGTTTCAACACGGTGGCTGAGTTCCTCAAGCGTTTGGAGCCGACCCTCATAGGTTTCTCGGCTGATGTCCAGCTCTGCAGCGATCTTCTCCTGCTCTTCCTCCATGACTTCGCGGCGTTGCTGGAGGATCTTTTCTGCCGTGGCGTCATTTGCGACGAAAATCTCCGAAAGGTCTGGATCATCTTCCTCCCCTTCGGGCTCGTCATCGATGACGGCCATGTCTGCCTCGGTAATCGGCGCAGCTCGGTTTGGCTGCTCCGCAGCGACGTCCTTCTTGGTAAGGGCGCGAGCGGTGAGCTCGGCTGCGGCGATTGCCCTTTTGTGGCGGACATCGGCAAGGTTTCGAAGTAGCTCTTCGTATCGCTGATTTGGAGGGAGGCGATCATCACGAAGTTCCAGCCCACCAAGCGGACGGTTCATCGGACTGGTGGCAGCTACTTCCAATGCGATATTTAGAGCCTCATGAGCAGGTGAAATACACTCTGACAAAAAGAGAACATATGATTTGCATTCTCGTCTGATTTTTCGCAATGCCATTGGTCACGCAAGTCCATGCGGGTGTTGAGGACGTTGATGTTGACCAGGCGGAAGCGACACTTACCGACCTGGGAACCATAAACTTCGTCCTGGAACCACTGACTCAGCCGGTTGTACCAGTCGCTGTAGGGTCCCAGCCGCGTGAAGTTGTAGGTCTCAGGATCGGGCGCGCTGATGAGAGCGGCCGAGTGCACACCGTACCGGAACATGTCGGCGGCAAACCCAACCAGCTCTTCTTGCACCTTCTCCTGTAGCTCCATGTAGTGGTCGCCGTCAGGATGATCGAAGGGCCATGAAGTCTGAGCTTCAATTCCTTTCTTGCCGATGAGCTCGTTGCCGGACCACACCACGCCCACCAGCAGCATACAGCCTGGGAATTGGCGTTTGAGGTTCCTCACGGCAATACGGGCTCGTTTCAACAGAAACGGCAACTCTGCACCCCAGAGGCATTCGTGATGAAAATGCTTGCAGTAAGTTGGACGATAGGCCTGAAAGTGGTCGGCCAAATCGAACCTCTGGGGTTGGCGTTTCGAACCGCTAACCAAACACAAGGTGGAGTCGGAGATCAAGATGTGTACCGTTTGGTAGTCTTGACTCGTGGGCACACCTGTGAAGGCGGCTAGATCATACCGTGAGGTCCGAATCAATGGACCCAACTCCGGCTCTAGCCATGGGTTCTTCTCAACCAGGCCCGCCAGCACGGAATGTGCTGTGTGCTGGCCAAGGACGCCA